GACGAGGATGAAGAAAGGTGTGGGCCCAGAACGAATGAACAGCGACGGGTCGGCGGACGAATGACAAAACCCGAGGGTAGCAAGAGTGGTGCGCAGCGAGTCGTGCCACTCACGGGGCGCTTGACGGAGACCGTAGACTGGTCGCCTCAGGCTCCACTGTGTACCAGGTAGGAAAGTTCCAGTGAAGCCAGGAGGGCAGCGCAGCCAGATGTCCTCGTGTAGGCGGCCTTGGAGAAAGGCAGTGGAGAAGTCGAGGAAGTGCATGTCCTAGTCTCGCTGTGCTGCTTCGTGAAGTAACACCCGAAGAGTAGTCATCTTCGGGGTCGGGGTGAAGGTCTGGAAGAAGTCAACTCCCTTATGCTGACTGAAACCTCCAGCCACGAAGTGCGCCTTGAAGACATGCGGCGATCCAGGCAGCCGCTTCACCTTGAAGATCCACATGCCATCGACTACATTCGCCCTGGGAGGGGGAACTGCGTCGACGTAAGTTCCTGTGGATCTCCAAGACGTCATCTCAGAGTCCATGGCTACTTTCCACTAAGAGGCCCACTGCCCCAACACTGCCTCACGGTACGTGCAAGGTGTCGGTATGTCAAGGGCGTTGTGGTCTCCCTCATGGGCTAGCAGCATGGCACAGAGGTGAGGAGAAGCGGCTGCCAAGAACTCCAGCTCAAACTGCATGTCCTCTAGGACGTCACAGCCAAGGGTGGACTCACCCCGGGCGGACAGAGGTCGGGTAGGTGGAGCAGCCACCACGCGGGTGGCGTAGTCCAGGCGGCGAATAGTAGCAAGTCATCGACAGCAGCAACAAGAGTGGAGACAGACGACGAGAGGCACGAGCGTTCGTGACAAGAGAGGCGAGAACGCGTATGACAACAGGACGAGCAGCACCGTAGTAGTCAGTGATAGGGTCAGAGGAGACAGTAAGAGCTGACGCATGAGGGGACGGGAGAACAGACTGAGGCGGAAAACGAGGAGGACTGGAATGAAACAAGACAGAGCGGAGGTCGTCAAACGGAGAGGAGGGACGAGCACGCGTGGGACAGTGAATGGTACAGTCGTGCGGGACATCAGGAGGAGGTGACGGGGACCGAGGAGGAGGAGAGTAAACAGCAGGTGACGAGTCCGGAGGAGGAAACGTAGGACCGAAGGCAGGGGGAGACGGTGAGCGGAGAGGAGGAGAGGAGGAAAGACCAAGGGCCTGACGGGCACTCGCAGGTGGGAATAGCTGCTGCAAAAGTGGCGGCTGCTCCTGCTGCTGCGGCTGCTGCTGCTGCTGCAGCAGCTGCTGCTGCTCTTGCTGCTCATGCCGCTCCAGCCGCTGCAGCTCCTGCCTCTCCTGCTCCAACCTCTCCCGCTCCTCGCGCTCAAGCCGTCGAAGAGCCTGGTGGCGAGTGTTGTAGCGGTGGGGAAGCGCAGTAGGTGCCGCAGTAGTAGTGTCTCCAACGCCAGTCTTCTCAGAACTAGTACCTCCAGTGTCAGCACCTCCTGCGCCAGCACCCCTAGAGATAGCACCTCCAGTGCCAGCACCCCCAGCTCTAGCACCCCCAGAACTAGCACCTCCAGTGCCAAGACCTCCAGCTCCAGCACCCCCCAAACGAGCACCCCCAGAATGAGCACCTCCAGTGCCAGCACCTCCAGCTCCGACACCCCCTGAGTCCACTGCAATCTGTCGCGGTAGTGTTAAAGGCTGCTGAGGTGACTGTGAGGAGGACTGTGGGGAGGGAGGCGACACCTGACATGCTATCGAGGGGAGGGTAGCGTGAGACACACCTGACGGGGCAGGACCAGGTGGGGGCGGTGGTACCGGAGGAGCAGGAGCAGGAGGAGGCGTGGGGGCGAGGAAAAGGGGAGGGGGAGGAACCGGGAGACCTCGACAGGGGTAGCGAGCGTAGTAGGGCACAAACTCGTCAAATTGGACGTCACGGGAGTCGAGGAACCGGTGGAGGGGCGGGTGGTAAAACGCAAAGTCAGGAGCGACCACCGGGAAACCAAGGAAGACACAGGGGATGGCGCGAGCCGAGAGCTTATCCGCAGAGGTGTCGCGGGACAAGCGCAAGGCAGCCCCAGACAGGAAACTCCGACGCAACACCAAGGGACCCGGTCCAAAGACTGGTCGGTGAAGCCTCTGGCCGTGAGACGCGAGGCCAGAGGTTCAGCTGGTGGGCGGCGTAGCGAACCGCGTAGGGCCACAGAAAATGGGGTGTACGGGCTTGAATCATGGAGGTGCGGGCAATCTCCATTACCAAGCCTATGCGGCGCTCAGCAACCCATTCTGTTGTGGGGACTCCGGAAGCGACCAGGACTGGGTGATGCCCTTCTCCCTACAGAATCCTGCACGTACGCCGGAGCGAAACTCACCCCCACGGTCGGAGTGGAGACAAAGGACACGACTACCACGAGTGGCCTCAGTGGCCAGCAGCCACTTGCACAACGTAGAAGTCACGTCGTACTTCTTCACCAGAGGAAACACCGTGGTGTAACTGGAGTAGTCCTCAACGACCACCAGAAAGAAGCGCTCCGTCTTGGGCCCAAGCCGAGGAACTGGGCCCCAGACGTCCAAGTGGAGAGTCTGGAAGGGTGCGGTGGCCGGACGAAGGGAGGAGGAGTGAGGAGTGGCGCACAGCCGACCCTCAATGCAGGGAGTGCACGACGGTACAGGCGAAGGAGGGAGCCACGCAAAGACGCTCGGGAGACCTGAGACAAGACGCTGGCTAGCCATGCTGCGGAGGCGTGAGAGGGACGGGTGACCAAGACGGTGGTGCCACAGGACTGTCGGGTGGGTGAGTGACCGACAGGAGCACGGCGTAGCAACCCGACCGGACGCAGTAAGCTGACCAGGCGCAGCAACCTGACTGGATACAGTATCCTGAGGGTGCGTAGTGTGCAGAACGAGAGTTGCGTGGGGCTCCCTGGTGACCGTGGCAAGGAGCGCCCCAGTGGAAGCGTCCGTACATATCGCAGTCCTCCCGTGCCTAAGAATGGTGGCTGTGATCCCTCGATCCTCCAACACCTACCCAGTTCCGAGTGAACGAGGGGATGTCGATACCAGTGAGGACACCAGAGGGAACAACCGAGTATGGGAGGGTAGTAGCGCTACGTGCAACTGCTGGTCCTGAAGTAGGATCAGCGAGGGCCATTGGAACCGGAGCAAGAAGTGGTGTGAGAGTCGTGTGGTCGTGGAAGAAGCACTGTGACGCGCCAGAGTCCAGCGTGAAGGACAGCGACGCGTCAGCCGTAGGTGCACCTGGGCTGGTAGCTACACAAGCACCTAGTGCGGAACAGGAAACACCTAGCAACAGGCAAAGTTCCTAGTCTAGGAACACGCGAGCAAACAGATCCATCAGCACTATAGTCAACATCAAATACATAGACATATCAAATACAGGAGTCTTACAAGCAAGCAACTGTGCCCAGCGGGGTGCGCCCCACGTGGCCGAGACGATGACGGTAGAGGTCGTCGAGGCGGCGGAAGCAACGCGCTGCAGAGTGGTGACTGCGCCCGCAGACACCAGGACTACATGAGCCCGTGAGGATCCAGTAGTCGCAGGGGCCGGAGTCGCGCCCAGGGGGGCGGCCCCCCCAGCTGGGAGTGCTGCTGATGTGGCCAGTGCTCCCCGGTCCTCCAGGTCCCCACTGCTGTGGGGGGGCCCAGTGCTGCGGCGGACCCCACTGCTGCGGGGGTCCCCACTGCTAAAGCTGCTGTGGCACCTGCCGCTACTGCTGGCCCTGCCGTGGCTGCTGCTGCTAGGACTGCTACTGTGGACCTCCCTCACTACCGCAAGTGCCAGTACCTCCTCCTGGTGGGCCGGTAGGTCCACTGTCTCCTCCAGTGCCGCCTCCTCCAGGCGCACTAGTACCGCTGCCGCCGCTACCACCTCCGCCCCCAGCTCCACCTCCGCCACCTCCGCCGCTGCCACCCCTTCTCTCCCCTCTCTTGCCTCCCTTGCCTCTTTTCTGCCCACCAGCAACAGAAACAGCTGCAGTCTACTCAGAGACAGAGACCGTAGCAGTGGCACGAGTAGCAGTGAAGGTGGGAAGTTGTGGCACAGCACACCCCTCAAAGAGACGGGGAGCTACTGCGTCAGTGGCAGAGGCAACGGAGAGGAGGATCTTCAAGAGAGTGGTATCAAGAAGGTCGATCGTAAGCGCACTGGGGTGCTTCTGGAGAAGAACGTCGCGGGCAGAGGAGAGGCGGTCAGGGAGGCGAGTGACTAACCAGTGAATGGTGAGCCACATAGGAGGGGGGCAAGCTCAAGCTGGGCATCGGTACAGGCTGCACGGTAGCTAGTGTCGAGGGAACGCGGGTGAGTGGCAAGGTCGGAGACACTCGCAAACGACCCAAGGTCGGGAAACACAAACGACATGAGGAGGCGGCTGAGGGAGGTAGAGGAAGGGGTGGAATAACGAGCAACAATAGCATCATAACACCCCTTTGCCATCTCGACCTGGGAGAAGTGGGCAGCCTCACTCGGTGTGAGAAGGTCCGTGAGTGCCAGCGCAGACATGGTGTCACGAGAGTCCCAAGCGTCACGTGCCTGAAACAGTCGGTCGTAATCTGCTTGCTCCGTTGCAGTAGGAGCAGGCTCAGCAGGCAGGGGTGCAGGACGTGGAGGGGGCCGGAGGGCGCCAGGCGCGTGGGCGTACAAGGTGGCACCTTCCTGGCGCTGGCTAGTAAGGTGGCGCTGGGCTTGGCGGAGCCACGTACTAAAGTCGATAGGGCGGCCCTCCGCATCGAAACGTAAACGGCGGGAGGACTCCATAGTAACTGCTAGGGGCGGTTGGGGCTAGGAGTGGCCAAGCTAGGAGCGTCCGGAGCGAGGAGCTAGGAGCACTGAGCTACGGACGAGTGAAGCTGGGAGCGAGAAAAGCAAGAAGCGAGTGGATCTAGGGGCGCCGGAATGAAAACCGTCGGAGCGAGGAGGAGACTAAACCTAATTCGAACGGAAGGAGGGAGGAGCGGCTGCCAGCCGCCGTGGAAGAAGCCTATAGTAGTAGGCTCAAGGTAGAGCGCGAGCGCAGCAGCGGTGGAGTGCGTGCTGCTGGAAGGGCGGGGGTACGCGCGGAACTGAGAAGGGGCGCGCGCAGGACAGGGCAGGGCGCACTACTCTACTGGGGGCGCGCGCTGCTCTGCTGGAGGCGCGCGCTGCTCTGCTAGGGGGGATGGGTGGGGGGGGGGAGTGGGGGGGCGGGGGGGGGGGGGTGGGGGGGCGCTGCTCTGCTGGGTGGCGCGCGCTGCTCTGCTGGGGCGCGTGCTGCTCTGCTGGGTGGCGCGCGCTGTTCTGCTGGGTGGCGCGCGCTGCTCTGCTGGGGCGCGCGCTGCTCTGCTGGGTGGCGCACGCTGCTCTGCCAGGTGGCGCGCGCTGCTCTGCTGGGGAGCGCGCTGCTCTGCTGGGTGACGCGCGCTGCACTGCTGGGTGGCGCGCGCTGCTCTGCTGGGTGGCGCGTGCTGCTCTGCTGGGGCGCGCACTGCTCTGCTGGATGGCGCGCGCTGCACTGCCAGGTGGCGCGCGCTGCTCTACTGGGTGGCGCGCGCTGCTCTGCTGGGCGCGCGCCACTCTGGCAAGGGTGCACGAAGCGCTACAGAGGTAGGGGAGGGCGTGCTACGGAGTTAAGGAGCTGGAACGGAGGTAGGAAACCTAGAACGAACCTAGCGTGATACCATCTCAAAGCAACGGAATGGTGATGAACGAGAATGAATGAACTAGCAGCATGCAGGAGTACAAGTAGAAAACCCTTATTGGGTTGTACCCCATATGGGCTACCCCACTACAGCCCTCACAACATGCAGCATATAAGTTTGACACACCCCCATAGGCAAAGTGGGGGAGAACAAGAGGTCACAAGACCTGTCAAGTTAAGCAAAGCAAGCTCAGGGTGGATCACGAAGTCACCACACACTCTGAGCACAAGCAAATGGCCACAAGGCCAGTTCACATGCAGAGTTATATAATGAAGAACAAACAGTACAGTGATCAAAACCTAGCAAGTGTAAGCATGCAGGTATAAGAATATGGATCACAGTACAAGCAAAGTCAAGAAGTGAGCAAGTGAGGCCAAGTAGGCACAAGGCCTAGAACAGTACAAAAAACGCTGATGATCACAAGGCTGAAGTGCCTTGGTGAAGATATCAGCAGTGTTGGCCCGAGAGGCCAAGTAAACAAGACGAAGCTGACCACGCTGCTGGAACTCACGAGCAAGGAAGTAGCGCAGAGCAATGTGCTTCGTCCTGTGCTCCAGTCTGTGCTCCTGACACAAGGCAATCATGGCCTCGTTGTTGACGTACAGAACTGGAGGAGAACGAGGCGGCTCTCCCAAGTCTGTCAGCAGGTAGGTGAGCCAGCGTAACTCCTGTGCAGCCATGGCCCCTGCGTAGATCTCAGCCTCACAACTGGAGCTGAGAACAGAAGACGAGCGGGTAGACCGCCAAGAAACAGAGCTGGAGCCAAGGCTGAAAGTGTAACCCTGTGACGACCGCTGCGTAGCCAAGTCGTCAACCCAAGAGGCGTCTACGTGTCCAGTAAGGACAACTGGACCCCGTCCTCCAAGCACGAGCCCCATGCCCGACGTACTGCACAAGTAGCGCATCACCCTCTTAGCGGCCTTCCAGTGCTCTGGTAGGTGTCTCCCGGGCGCAACGTAGCGTGCCAGGATGCTAAGAGGGTAAGCAAGGTCAGGTCGAGTGCAGGTCATCAGGTACATGAGGCAGCCCACAAGCTCTGGATACGGGCTCCTCGGCTCTACGGACTCGTCCGAAGGTGGAGCTGAGAGCTGCGCAGCTCACCCAGGTCTGTGCACGTGTGTCTCTTCTGCAGCTCCGACTTCACTAGGGCCATTCCCTCAGTGTCAACAGTGGCAAAGACCAAGTCGTCGACGTACACGAGGATGTAGAATGGCGGCAGCGAAGTGTCGGTGCGTAGAAACAGCGACAAGTCAGCAGTCGAAGGAGCAAACCCAAGAGCCGCAAGAGTCGTCCTCAGTTTGTCGTGCCACTCGCGAGGCGCCTGGCGGAGACCGTAGACTGGCCGCTGGAGGCTCCATTGGGTACCTGCAGGAAACGACCCAGTGAAGCCAGGTGGGCGGCGCAGCCAGATCTCCTCGTGCAGGCTGCCCTGTAAGAAAGCTGTGATGAAGTCAAGAGAGTGAAGCTCGTAGTCACGCTGAGCGGCGACGTGCAGCAGTACCCGAAGAGTGGTCATCTTCGGGGTAGGGGAGAAGGTCTGGAAGAAGTCAACTCCCTGTCGCTGACTGAAGCCTCGTGCAACGTAACGAGCCTTGAAGGCAGGCGGAGAACCTGGCGGACGCTTCACCCTGAAAATCCACATGCCATCGACTATGTTCGCCCCAGGAGGGGGAACCTCGTCGACGAAGGTGCCTGTGGACTTCCAGGATGCCATCTCTGCGTCCATGGCTGTCTGCCACTAAGAGGAGTAGGGACCCATAATCGCCTCTGCGTAAGAGCGCGGGGTCGGGATGTCTGGTGCATCCGGGTCTCCCTCAGGTGCAATCAGCATGGACACGAGATGAGGTACAGCAGCTGGAAATCACTCAAAGTCCTCCTGCCTGTCCTCAAGGACGTCCGTGCCAAGAGCACACTCACCCCTGACGAACGGAGGATTGACCGACTCAGACTCAGCAACAAGAATAGCGGCATAGTCGAGGCGACAGGCGGCAGCAAAGTCAACAAGCTCAGCAACAAGGGCAGACGCAGCAGTGGACTCAAATGAAGGGTCAGTGACAACAGTGGCTAGAAGACGTGTGACAGTAGGACTGGCAGCACGAGCAAGGTCTGACGGCGGGTCAGGGACGTCAGGAAGAGAGGACGCAGGAGGAGACGGCAGAGGGACACGCTGTGGAACAGAGGAAGGACGAAGTGCCATCTGGTGCGTGCCGGGGACAGGAGGAGGACGCTGACGCGGAACACGACGACCAGTGCGAACAGCGCGAATAGGCGACGCAGGACGAGACGCAGGCTCACAACGCTCTGTAAGACCTCCGGTCTGCTCAGTGTAAGGAGAAGGAACTGGCAGTGGGGAGGCTGGCTGTAACTGCGGCTCCGTCTGGTCAGGCGGTGGACACAGTAAGGGAGGAGTAAGGCCAGTAGAAGGCGGGAGACCAAGAACCTGCTGAAGCAGTGGAACGAAGTACGGTCGCGGCCGCACAGCGCCTCCACAACCAGCACCGACAGCACCAGCACCCACAGGGCCAGCACCTCCAGCTCCAGGATCTCAAGCTCCAACGCCTGCAGCACCACCAGCTCCAGCAGCTCCAGTACCTCCGGTACGAGTACCTCCGGGACCAGCGGCTCCAGCACCTCCAGCAGCTCCAACTCCAGCGGCTCCAGCTCCAACTCCTGCAGCACCTCCAGCTCCAGCAGCTCCAGTACCTCCAGTACAAGCACCTCCGGGACCAGTGCCTCCAGCACCTCCAGCAGCTCCAGCTCCAGCTCTTGCAGCACCCCTAGCTCCAGCAGCTCCAGTACCTCCAGTACGAGCACCTCCGGGACCAGCGGCTCCAGCACCTCCAGCACCTCCAGCTCCAGCAGGTCCAGTACCTCCAGCTCCAGGGCCTCCAGCGGCAGCCCCCCCAGCTCCAGCAGCGCCAATCTGAAGGCTCCAGCGCCGAGCAAACCACTCGCGCAGCTGCGGTGGAGAGAGAGGCTCCCGCCGTGACGAGGCACCTGTAGGACCTCCAGGCTCAGCACCCCCAGGCTCAGCACCCCCAGGCTCAACACCCCCAGGCTCAGCACGCTCAGGCTCAGCACCCCCAGGCTCCGCACCCTCAGACTCAGCAACCCCAGGCTCAGCACCCCCAGGCTCTGCACGCTCAGGCTCAGCACCCCCAGGCTCCGCACGCTCAGGCTCAGCACCCCCAGACGCAGCACCCCTAGCAGCACCAGAGTTCACAGCGACCTCGACAGGCTCGACAGGGTCTACCTGAGACACACCTGAGGGAGCAGGACCCTGAGGGGGGAGGGGGTCTACCGGAGGAGGACCTGGTGCGAGGAAGAGCGGCGGGGGGGGGAGAGGGGAAGAGACGGTAAAAGGGAACCGACTCGTCAAACGTGACGTCCTGAGAGGGCAGGACACGGCGCGAGGTGGGGTGGTAAAACTGCCAGCCAGGCGCGTCAGGGGGAAAGCCAAGGAAGACGCAGGGAATGGCACGGGAGGAGAGCTTGTCCGCGGACGTATCGCGGACAAAGGCACGAGAGCCCCAGACCCGGAACACCGACGCATCGCCAACCTTCCCCGTCCAACACAGTGTAGGCGAGGTCTCCGGCAAGGAGACACGGGGCCAGAGGTTGAGCTGATGCGCAGCGTACCGGACCGCAAACGGCCACAGAAAATGGGGGGCAGCCGCATGGATCATGGAGGTACGAGCGACCTTCATGACTAAGCCAATGCGGCGCTCAGCAACCCCATTCTGCTGCGGAGAGGCCGGAAGCGTGAACGTCTGGCGAATGCCCTCCCCACGACAAAAGTCCCGCAAGAGGTCGGAAGAAAACTCACCACATCTGTCAGAGTGCAGACGCATGACTGGAAGGTCCGTCTCGAACCGCTCGCGGAGCTAGAGACGGGCAGCGCGGATTCAAGGGATCAAAACATCAGGGACCTCCCCCTTGCTGCGCAAGGGGAAGACCGTGGTGTAACGCGAGTAGTCGTCAACAACCAGCAGAAAGTACCGCTCGCGGCCCTGTCCACGGACGCGAGCTGGGCCCCACACGTCCATGTGGAGAGTTTGCAGGGGAGCAGTCGTCGGGGGAAACGAGGAGGAGTGAGGAGCGGCGCGCTGCCGCCCCTCGACACAGGGAAGGCAGGGAGGGGCAGGCGAGGGTGGGAGGGGAGGCAGAGACCTGGGAAGACCAGAGACAAGGAGACGGGAGTGCATGCCACGGAGGCGTGGCACGGAGGGGTGACCAAGGCGGTGGTGCCAAAGGAGGGTCCGGTGCGACAGGGCGCGACACGAGCAGGGGGCCGCTAGCTGACCTGACGCAGACGCAGACGCAGCTACCTGAGAAGGCTCAGTAGTCAGAGTGTACAGACTCGACCCAGGCCGACGGATGAACGTGGCCAGGTGCCGGCCAGTCCGGGAGCACGTACAGATCGCCACACGCTGTCCTCCAGGGGTGAAGGTATCAACCCACTCATCCTGAAGGACGGTGTTGCTCACCAAGTTCGTAGAGAACGAGGGGAGGTGAAGACCTAACAGTGAGCCAGACGGAACCGCCAGACACGGGAGAACAGTGGAGGAACGTGCAAGGACTGGGCCCCCAGAGGGGTCAGCCAGAGAGACAGCAACAGGTGCAGGGAGCGGTGTGACTGTGGTACTGTCGCGAAAGAAACAGTCAAGACCAGAGAGAGCACCTTAGTCAAGCGTGAAGGTGTGCAAGCGCAGCAGGCGCAGTACCAGAGAGAGCAGACTCACTAGCACCTAGAGCAGCAGACTCACTAGCACCTAGAGCAGCAGCCTCTATACCTGGTTCAGGCGGCATACACAGGTAACAGTCACCCTCAGCACTAACAGTCAATGCATACATGGCAGCAAGGATAGCATCATAATCAAGAGCAAAGATATCCACACCCTGCCTAAGCAGCTCTGCCCAGCGGGGGAGCTCAGTCGCGTCGGGAAACTCTGCGCGAAAGGCGTCGTCAAGACGGGAGAAGCAGCGGTGTTGTGTGTGAAACTTCCCGCATGTCAGATCAGAGCGGTCACCTGTGCGAATGACATACGGGCAGCGACCACTACCCCCAGCCGC